GTGCTTTCTTCTTCTCTTTCTTCTTTTTTTTTTTAGCGTGCGCGCTCAGCATTTCATTTAAAGAGTGAGATTAAAAAAATATATCTTTGAAAATATATAAATATTTATGAAATATTATCATGAAATAATGACTGTCCACAAAAAGGAGGGCAGGAAGACATACCAAATGCTGAAAGAGGCATATGGTATACAATGCTTTAAATATTAATTCTGATTTGCTATAAAACAATCAACTTCTTAAACATTTCACTGCTTTTTAAACCTGACTGTTAGCTCCTTAAATAGGTACTGTGCATAATTTGCATTCAAAAGCCATCTTTTTAAATGAGCTAATAAAAAGTCTTATTTACTAGTAATCACAATCCCTGGCATTTTGCCTTTCTGTTAAATAATAATGACAGATTTAAATGTACAGATCACCACTTCTGTAACCACAGTCAGAGCACATTTTCAGAATGCTCTACAGGGTACACGGCTTCGCAGATAAGGTTATAAAAAAATATTTATCTTTCATTTGCAACAGACAGACATCCATATTTAAGATTCAAGTAAGTAGCCATTTTGTGACATTATTTTAAAAGTTCTCCATTTAAATATTCCTGAGATGCTAAAATACAGCTATTTCGGGAGGGGTTTTCCTGATAACAAAGAAGGTAAGTTAATTCAAAGATAATACGTTGATTAAAACCTGTTTTCTATTTCCTTTGATTTTAAAACAGATCAATTCAACACACAGATATACTTTGCTGGGCAGTGAGCTCAAGGTGGTGAAAGAAACATGAAAACACTGCCTTTCCTGCACACATGCAGAGGTTAGGCACAGTGATAAGTAGACAAATCTGCTTTTCTTTCTCAGATACATAGTGACTGAGAGCTTACCACAAGCCACGCAACTTTAAAACACTTACATTAGGTTGTGTACCTAGAATGCAATATGCTAGTGCAGGGATGTAACAAGGAGATGGACTCAAGATACACTTTACATTCATCCTGCCTCGTTAACATAACAAAGACAACCAGTTTCCCCACTGGGATTAGAACCACAGGCCTGGAGGTCAGTATTGACAAAATTTACATTTGGGGACATAATCCAATTCATAACAGAAAGGGACGTTTCCCCAAAGAAGACAGACTGAAAATACTGTGTGGTGCTTTCCCACCTTCCAACAGATGGCTAAATTGTGGCTACAATCATGGGTGAAAGAAAACTGATCTTTCTAAACCATTAAAAGCAAGGATCATTTCTTACTTCCCTCTATATTTCCAAGATTTAATAGTTTCTGATACATGGTTGGCATTCAAAAAATACTTGTTAGTTGAATAAATCTATCAAGATAATAATTTCCCTTCCCCAAATCAGAGGATTTGATTCCAAGTGTGTGTGTAGAAAGGGAGACAGCAAAACGGACTCTTCAGTCTATCAGCCCAATGCCAGGAGAGCTCGGACACTGGAAAGGAGCCCCTAACTGAAGAGGCCAAGTCGCTCTCGCAGGGTCCCAGGCATTCCAATCACTGTACAGAGATGGAGGGGTTTACCGCAATGTGGTCTGGGGGTTCTTAGTCATTCATGAAGGCTTGGGGGCCATTCAAAACGCTAGATCTTCAATCTGTGTGGAATTTTAGGGCTGAGGGTGAGAGGATCGGCGATTGCTTACTTCTGAACTACCTGGTCTCGAATAAAGGCTCCCTGGTGCCACAGTGGGGTAAGCATTGGGCTGCTTTTGAAGCCAGCAGGTTAGTGTTTCAAACCTCGCTAACTGCTCTCCGGGAGAACAATGAGACTGGCTGCTCCCGCAAAGATGTTCAGTTTGGGAACCTTTGTGGAACAGAGGTTCCCAAACTTATTTGGCTTACTGCCCTTTTCAGAAAATAAACAGAAAAATAACAATTACTCAGCACCACTCCCTGAAAATTAAAACCGTTTGTAATCCAGGATAAAGTGTAGGTATCTGCTTTTGCAGCGCTCTCTGCATTGCTAAAGCACCTCCCAAGGGAGTGGCATGCCCCTACAGTGTTGCAAGGAGTCAGAACTGACGTAATGGCTGTGGGTTTGGTTATCTTGAACAGGTACTTTGGTGGACCTACCTCATAGCTCTAAAAACCTTACATGCGATTGCATGTTAGAAAAAATTTTTTGTTAGTATTGATTTTTTTAAAAATTGGCAGCCAAGATGTTTCGTGCTTAATAAAAAGGATAGTTGTTAAGAA